GAGAGGTTCAGATAAAAAGCTTTCAACGCTCTCAACATAGAATTTACACATTATCTGGGTCGGGGAAACCTCTAACACCCTAAGTGCACTAGACAATCACTCAAGTAGAAATCTATTTTAGGCCAGTCAAATTGGAGATGCGCGGGGGCTTCTCCTCATGTATATGTAATAAGATACAGTTATCTATAACAATCCAAGATGTGAAGGCCCTATTAAACATGTTTGGATATATAGTCAAGCATGCAAACTGTTTTAAAACCGGCTCAAAGGTCATACAGAAAATTTAGTGCAGGTTTTAAAAGTCTTGAATATTTTAACCCTAAATCTTAATTAATCTTAATATTTTATTATTAAGATTTTGTAAAAAAAGTTTAAAGTTTTAGATTCCTTAATGAGCCTAGATTATTTTTCATGATCAATCTTAGGCAAACAACAAACAGAAGGAAACACTAAAATAAAGCAGTCAAAAAACAAAAGTCAAGGTAAACCAAGCAAAATATAAGAGCAGGTTGGTTCCGCTGAGTCAACAACATCCCTCAGAAAAGCAACAAAGCAGTCCAACTCTGTATATACATGTTTGAACTTGATTTCATAGAAGAGTAGAAATTCAAAATTAAGATACGGGACAGAAGGTACTACTTTTGATTCTCGTCATGTGGTTCTCGCGCCAAACACCTCAAAACTTGTGCTCGTATCTTATCTCCAAGACAAACTTCATAGTAGGACTCTATTAAATACACGATAAAAGAAAAATAAATGACTCAACCTGTAGAAAATGTCAACACAGGTTAACATGCAACGTGCGCGAGCCATGTCTGATGGAAGGGTCTTATAACAACATCTTTAAGAAAAGTGATAACATATAAATCATGACATTGCTCCTCCTTTATTAAACATGTGTGTGTGTATTTAGGCATGACTCCCTGCAAGAAGATTAACCTAATACACTATTGCACATGTCCACACCCACTCAACACACAAAAGCATAAGTAAAGTGATGCCTAGCTAAGGTAGTCAAACCACCAAAGAACAATAGCCAGACATCGAAAAAACTACCTACCACCCTAATCCTCACCTAGCACACCATCTGACGAAAAATGTTCAAACCAGCATCTAAGTGCTCAAGGTAAAGTATCAGGTATGTATGACTTTAACGAGATCACCATATCGACAACGCTTTAAAGATTGAAGGGATCTAACAAATGTCGCCCAAGGTGGATTTTAAGATAGAGTTGGTCTTACATATTGTCCAGCTTGATATTTGCATAATTTTAAAATTAGGTTGAATATCATAAGTAGAAAAAAAAAAAACTTATCTTTAAATATGGTCGTTAAATGCATACATGTAGCATGCAAGGTGACACAAGTTAGATCCATTGGTTCCTTAGCACAGTCATACAAATGTTGATCCCAATGCAATAACTTGCATTGCTCACCAGAATTTGTTTGTCAAATAATGCTTGTTAATGCATCGTGCCCAACACGGGGTCACTCTCCTAACGAGTCTAACTCACTATCGAAACACAAATGCATATTCAAGTACAAACATACGACATACAAGATCACCAATCATGTAAATGACAAACTCAAGTGCAAATATGTTGCACACTCAGTGGGTTAAGAATGCTCTAAGGCATAACCCTGATTGAGTACACAATGT